CGGGCATTCAGTAAATAGTTGTGGCATGAGTGAATGGACTCAATTAGGACCCCAACACCCTGATAAGCCACAGAAGGCCTCAGGCCACAGAGCCTGCCACCAAGTTCAGCCAAGGGCAGCCAGGCGCATGGAGGTAGGAGCAAGGGAGGCCGAGGCCTCTCCATTCGGGGAAGAGGCCAGAGGGTGTCTTCTGTGCTTTTCATGGACAAGGGCAGAGGGCTCAGTGGCCCTCTCCCCAGACTAGAGAGGGCTGCTTACCCTGCTTAAACTGGGACTTTCTCTTCTCTACCCGCCTCCTCCCTACCCCCTCCTGATTGACACCAATGCTGGCTCTGACAAGATTTAAAAATAGATATTAAGACAAGGAAGTTTAATTTTTAATGCTGTGGAAAGGAAGTGAACGCAGAGCTGGCATTCCCTCATGGCCACATTCCAGGGGTCTCAGGGTATCTGCCAGGCCCCACACCTGTCCCCCTTCCCCCAGCAGAGGCAGGTCTGACCCACCCTGAAGATCTCTTTATTGCATCCCTCTAGGAAGAAAGCCTGAACCCCTCATACCTGAGCACTCTGGGGAGACCCTAAGTGCCTCTTGCTGCCCAGGTTAGCCTGTGTCTCCTCTGCCTGGAGAGGCCAGGTGAGGCCAGGTCTGAACCTGAGCTCCCTGCTGGGACCTGTGAGCCCACTCACTACTTCTGTTCTCAGACAGAAGGCACCACAGGCTCCTTATGACACTCCAGGCCACCCGACACTGACCATGCACAGACCCCAGCCCGAGCCCCCAGAGGCACTCATGACATGGCCGAACCAGTACTGAGCATGTGCCAGCAATGCCGCTGGAAAGCCCGGCCATGCTGCCTGCACCCAAAGGCAGTGAGCATCTGAGGGGCCTGACCTCACTTAAGGGAGTTTAATCAGGGCCCCATCAGCACTCCGCCCAGGGCCACCCTGAGCCAATCTTTCCCCTGCTCCAGCAGACTGGCTGAACACGGCCTCCTCAGCTAATTAGCCTTCATTAAGGGAGCGATCCACAAGGAATAGGCTTTCCAATGGGCCAGAATGTCACTGCTCTGCCAGCCATAATTTAAAATGATGGGGCAGCTCTGCTGGCAAGCATGAGAAGTGACCATTATCCTGAGTAGCAATTACGCCAGCAGCCCCAACCCCGCCCTGACCCCTCCATATCAGACAGGAACTTGATTTAGGTTGGGAAGAGCTTGGCAGGGTCAGGACTTGCTGCCCCTGGAAGGGGACACCTGACCCCAGCATTCAGAGGTCCCTTTTCCAGCCCACGCCTATACTCTCTTCTCTACTCATAGTTTAAAGCTCTGAGCCTCCTTTGCCCTCTGGGTGGGGCTTAGAATCATTTAATCTCTACTTGGAGTATTCTACCAGATGGCCCTGGGAGGATCCAGATATGGGGCTGACTGAGGAAAATGCCCGGATGGTTTCCACTGCCAGGAGAACCATCTCCTGGGTGGGTGTGCTTATTGGGGAACAGGACCCTCAGTATGCAGAAACTTTTGTCCCAGTTCAAGCCTCCTATTCCCTACCCACTAAGAAGCCAGCATTGCCTTTAGCCCTGAGAGTCGGGGCAGGAGATGCAGAAGGCAAACAGGAGAGGGGACTCAGAAGTGACCACGGACTCTCTCTCCTCTACCCTCACCTTACTGCCCTCCTGGAGGCCCCAGATCCCCACAGTGCACTGGGCTGCCAACATGACTAGCACTGTCTGGTTGAAGTCGCAGTGTCAGGAGCAGACCTGGGCCCCCACCAGCAAGCAGGTGCCCAGCAGCCTGTAAGGCACAGGCCCTTTGCTTAATGAGGAGGAGGACCAAGGGCTGCATGGCTCCACCTCCCAGCCTGCCCCCAGTGATGTCACCCAGCCCTCCCCAATACTAGTACCCTAGAAGCTCCACCCAGTGGTAAGGGACCAGGCAGGCCCTGGAGGGGTTGCAGCATACAACAGCTGCACCTCTCCTCCACGTGGGAATCCTCCCAAGCGCTCAGAGGCAGGGGGGTGTGGCAGCAGCGGTGAGTTTGGAGAAATACCAGGTAGGCTCCGGGATCTATGGGAAGAGCTCTATTGATTGCAGACCTCAGGTTCAATTCTAATGCTTCAGAAAAGCCTCCTTTTTGGGTGTGAGCCATGAGATTCTAAGTTAATGCTATAGAATTCCTAACAATTGCCCCCGGTCCCAGAGGGCTGGGCTTGACCCACCCTGCATGCTCCCCTCAGCACCCTGCACAAGACAGCAGCAGGGGCCTCCCAGGGACCCCGACTCGTCAACACCCCACCTGCCTTCGAGGTTTTCCCTTCCCATTCAGCTCTTTCCTCTGCTCCTTCCCCAGTACCAGGTCAAGCACCAGCCTGCAGGAAGTCTTCATTTGAGTGGAGCACAGTGCCCCAAATCCTGGCCGACACCCTGCTGCACCTGCTCCTCCACCTCCCAAAAAACATAGTGGCAAACACACTTACACACAAGCATGCACTTCCCTTCTGCTAAATTCCCCATCTTACCTAAGGTCTGTGTCTTATTTCATCATCTCATTTGCTACTGGCATACAAGAAGTGGATCTTTGAGATTCTTTTTTTCCCAGCTTATAGCATGTTATGGGAATTCTGAAAATATTAAGTAATCAGAAAAGTCTGAACGCAGGAGAGAACAACTCCTTGCCTGGTAAGGGAGTGTAATCGGTACCTTCTAATTAGGAAGAGACAGCAAGTTCCCTCGCTATCAACCATAAAGAAAAAATATTTCACCAACTAGCTCATTCCCCTCTGCCAAGCTTTTAAGGGTAGATGGGAAGAATTGCTTGTCATCCCATAGCGGCGGCGCTAGGAGAGCCTTTATCAGAGGCAAGTGTGAGATCTAACTTCTCTTCCCCAGCAAGTGGAACTCGGGAATCACCACCACATAACAACACATGGATTCACAGCTCTGGCCCTTCAGGCATTCACTCACAAACATATAATGAGGGCCTACTATGTGCAGGGTACAGATCACTGTACCGGCCTGTAAGGAGGTCCCCAAACCACATTGGGCCCATCCCAGAGAAGAAAGGCACCTCAGGCAGTTATACCAACTCCAGCCAGCAGGTGGCAGGGTGGGGGTGGGGAGGAGAGAGCGCAGCTGAGTGAGGTTACAGGCCCCAGGGTCTTCCTAATAAGGCTTAATATAGGTAGGGTGGGGTGAAACAGAAAGGTTAAGTTGAGACTACGAAAAAGGACAGAGATGGAAGCAGCTGTGAACGATGAAAAGGACAGATTCGTGTGAGTCCAAAGGCATCGGAGAGGCACACACCAGTACCTGGCTGACAGATGCTGGCAGATGGGTCACAGGACCAGGAGGCACTTGCCCACAAGGCATCCAGAGACATTCCAGGGGTGCTCACCACCAGAAGAAGAAATGAGACTATCTGCCCCAGCTTCCATAAAACTCTAGGCATATGACAGGTAACAGCCTAATGAGGTGGCTGGAGGGCCCAGCCCATAGTGACAACTGGGGGAACCCAACTCAAGTCATCTCAGACCAGCCTCCTTGGCAAAGAAACCCAAGCCCCAGGTACAGGAGGGGGCTCCTCTCCCCAAGAGAGAAGATGAGGATGCCTGCCCCACACCCCAGATGGCATGCAACTAGCGAGGTGAGGACAGTGAGGGAGGTCATCACGACAGCCCCTGTTGGACTGGAAAGGAAGGCCAGCACTTCCAGGACCAAGTGATTGGCCCAAGGTCACACAAGAAGCTAGCGCAGAACCAAGACTAGAGCCCGGTCTTCTTTCCTCCCAGCCCTGCACCTGCCATCCTATGGGGACAGTTACGCCCTCCACGCACACCCCCCACCCTAAAAAGTTTTTCAGCTCATGTGGACCACTCCACACAAAAGCTGAACGCCTCTTCAGCACAACTGTTTCTTCCCAACTTCACGCTGAATGACCTTCTCCTGCCCCCAGTGCTCCTCCTGGACCATGGGCAGCTGACAGCCTCCAGTGGGCAGGACAGACTCTGGGGCAGAGCCAAACATCTGTGCTATGTCAGGGCTTGGGTGAAGAAAGGCAGAGATGGCAGTTGGGATAAAGGAACAATTCAAAACAAATTTAGGAAGTTTTCAAATTTTCCTAACCAGTATTTCTTATGCACGTGCACGTATGTGCGCACAGCCTCCAGAGTCACACGGAGGACAGAGAACAATTCCCAGCTGCCCTACCCATTCATACCTTCTCTAGAAAAGTGCCTCTCACCAAGGACAAGGGCACCCTGCTTATCTCCCTTTGTCCCTTCCGGTCACTGGGGCTCCCAGAACCTGGGAGCACGTGGCTGGCCAGCTCCCTGCCCAGTCCACTGCAGTCCCTCAAAAGCAGCAGCCAGCCACCCGATGGCAGCATGCCCCCTCCTTTCCCACCCAGACCCCAAGCTGCGGGCATATCTGAGGACTAGCAAGTAGGTCCATCAGCTTGGGACAGGGGCTCCTCCTCTTTTTCCTGGGATTCACTGAAAGGAGTGAGAAGATACGGCTGTTATACCCCGCCCCCCTCCAACCCACTCCTATAAAATGCTGCAGATTGTACTCTTGTGCATTCAGGAGGAATACATGAAGAAATTCAGAAAGACATTCTCACTGTGCCTATCTCCAGCTCAGGCTCACAGCTGTTAAAAAATCTGACCCACAGCCATTACTGCAGGCTGCCCAGTGGGAGGCACTTCCAGCATGGGTTTTCTTGTAGGGGAAGGAGGTGGTGCCAAACTTTGCAAGCCTCCTAAGAGTCGAGCAAATCTCTCCTGGAAGACAGGCAAGCTGGAGCCCCCATTCAGCCACCAAAGAGAGGGAGAAAGGAAGAGAAAGGTGCATGAAAGGGGGGCGGGGGCAATTTTTTAAAAAGCACACTTACCACTGTGCAGAGAGCAGAGCAATGCAGCACGGAGGAGGGAAAGGGTTTTCGCGCTACGGTAAGCAAAGAGGCAGGGGAAGAGGGCAAAGGGAGAGAGAAATGGAAGGACTTACCCAGAATATCAAATTGAAGAGGAACATCATGTACTTCAAGCAGCAGAGGCAGCCCCTGGCCATGTTGCACTTCTTAAATTCTAGGAGGAACACAAAGGACAGGTCCAGGTAAAACACCACATACTTGCTGCCTTTGGGTGCATTGTACTTGTCGGTCTTAACGCCGGCCTCGGCGCGGCTCTGGCCCCGGGAGCCCGCGGTGCCGTAGAAGGCGCCGGCCGTGAAGCCGCGGCCGAACGGGCGGCCGGAGGTGGACGGCTTGGCAAAGTCCGAGTCCTTGCTGTCCAAAGATGGACTCCGGTGAATCGAAGAATCCTCGCTACTCGACTTCTCCATGCTCGCGGCGTTCCCGGGGGGCGCGAGGGGCGGGGGGCATCGCTCCCAGAATGGGACGGAGGGGGCGCCCAAGTCGGGCGCGGGCTGCGGGCGGGCCGGCGGAGCCTTGCACGCCCCCTCTCTGCACCGGGGCGCACTCACGGTCGAACCCCAAGCCCAGGGGCCGCTGCCTCTCAGACGGCGCCCCACTCCTGGCCGGCGGGCCCAGGAGGGCTCTGCGGCGCGGCGAGGCTCTGTGTGCGCTAGCGAACGATCCCCGGGAACCGGCTCGCCCGCGTAACTCAGCGTATTTGGGGAGGCTGCAATTTGATTTCTCTTTCCAGGCGTCAGCTCGCCTCCGGCCGCTCCACGCGAAACAGAAGGGCACCGGGATCCAGGCACCCTAGGCACACCTCTCCCAGCCCAGCCCAGCCCCAGCGCTGAGCCCCCACCACTTGGCCGGCGCTCCTCCTCCTCTCGTTCTGCGACTTGGCGGAGCTGCCACCGGCCTTGGGCTGCCCCGGCGCACGGCAGGCAGTGCCGAGGGATCCGCCGCAGCTGCAACCGCTGGGCTTTCCCTGCGAAATCCCAGCCCCGGCCCGGCACTCGACTCTGAAATCGCCTGGAGCCCCCTACCCGGGCCCTCGGCCCCGCCCACTGCTTTGCATTTGACCAATGGGCGCGAGACCTTCCCGGCCCCGCTGGGGAGCCACCCCCTCCCCAATGACACACTATCTTTAATGGGATTAGCGTTCTGCTATGTGCCTAAACAAGTGCACCGCGAGCCCTCGCTAAATGTCAAGGGCTCTGCAGCTGGGGGGTGAACCAGAACCTTCAACGGAAAGCGCTGGTCTCTTTTACCCGAGCAAGGGAGCGGCGAGAGGAGGAGGAGGATGGCTGGAGGTACCCAAGGCCCAGGCAAGCCAGAGGAAAGGTCTGGGGAGAAAGACTGGGGCGGGACAGAAGCGCAGCCACCGTCGAGCTGGCCACCGCCCCCTAAGCACGTGGGGGCCTGTCCGGCCAGGGCAAGCGGCCTCCCGGATGGACCTACACACACACACTCTCTGACACACACACCCCATGCCTTTACACACGTGGGTCCGGCTAGGGTGCACAGGGAGACGGGACCGCAGGGGAGGTGCGAGTTATCAGAAAGCGCTGGGGGCCTCCGCAGGGTGCGCGCCGCCCTCCCCGCCCCCTCGGCGCGCACGCACGGGCGCGCACACTCGCGGCTCTGCCAGGCTCCTGCAGCTGCGCGAACCCCTGCCCCGCGTTCTCGGTTGGGACGCTGCAGCGGCTGGAACCCCGGCCAGGCTGACAGGGGCAGGTGGACAAAGCGGGGCCCTGTCTTGCCCTTCCTCACCCCCCCCGTGCCAACAGTGATGTAGGGGTGCCCCTGGCCACTGTCTGGGTGCTGTCCCGTAAGGTCAAAGAAACAGCAGGAGAAATGCTTTCGCTCGGGTCTTGGGAACATCCTACCGTAGAACACTGAAACTGGGCGGCCTCCCTTGGGCTGGTGCAGAAGTCTGCATTGCCGACCGGGGCACCACACTTTGCAAATTATGATTAGAAGACTTGCGAGTGGGGAGCCCACCTCTCTTTTCTGCTACCCTTCCAGTCGCTCAGGAAGAGAATGCTGAGAGCACCCGAGGGCAGGAGCCACATTTTTCCAGATTCTGTAACTCCAGCCCCTAACACTGGGCTTGGCCTCTGGGGGGAGCTCAATAGGGATGACTGGATGGAAGAATTCATGCCCTACCTGGGGCTGTGGGTGTGAAAAGTCCTCTCTGGATCCCAGCAGGCATTTATGTCACAACCAGAGCTGTGCGCTAAGCCCTGCGCCAGGCCCTTGAAGAAACAGATACTAGAAGTGGGGCTCCCTGCCCTTCAGGCAGCCACAATCCAGTTAGGAAGACAGGAGGGCATTAATCACCAAGGCAGCACAGATGGGCAGACACAGCTACCACAACAAGCATGGCCATGGTGGGAGGGGAACATTAATTCCAGCCAGAGGGACTTCCAGACCCTCATCACAAAGCTGTTGTGATCACCCGTGCTGGTGGTGACCTGTGCTAGTGAGCCTGCCGCCTCACTGGCTCCCTGGCAGGCCCACCTCCTAGAGCTGAGAGCTTTCCCATTCCGAGTACAGCTCCCCTATTTTAAAGGAACCTGCAGAGCCCCTTCCCAACTCAGATGGGGAGCCCAGCAATAAAACCTAGTGTGTATTACGGCCACTAGCAGCTACTCTCTCTGGGTTTGGCACCGCAGTCCCACCGATGCTGTCTGCAGATGAAGGGGCAGATGTCTAGTCGCTTCCTGATGTATGTAGCACCAGGGCCGCCTGACTGGCATGGCTAATGCCTTTTGTCCTCTGCAGCCTCACCTGGCCACTCCTGCGGGGCCGATGGCTCACAATATTACTTCTTTGATGCAGGGATAGATCATTTACCAGCTGGACTGGGAGTCAAGAGACCTGTTTTTCACTTTGAGCTCTTTTTAGCTGTGTGACGGAGAGCAAGGCAGTTTGCCTTTCTGAGCTCCCATTTCCTCTTCTTTAACATGGGGATTAAAAGAGCCTACCCCCTGGAGGTGTTACAAGCAAAAAGTGAGCTGGTGGATATGAGAAAAATCTGAGGACATGAGACTGAACAAATCAGAGGGGCTGATCTTACCAGACTCAGGTGGGGACCTCGCGTCACGGAGGGCCCTCCCAGGCTGGCCCCCTCCACTTCCTAACCCATTTACATCTCTTCTTCCCAGCTCACACCTTGTCCAGGCAGAACAGTTTCCTCATTGTCCCTGATCTGTCCACCTTCAATTCTGATTATAAATGAATTTGTGCCACTAGCCACTTCCTCAGAAGTTCGAGGGGCTTGGGGGGGGGGGGGGGGGGGGTGGTCCCCAGCAGGTAGGGGGGAAACAACGGGCAGGCAAGAGAGGAAGAAGAGGCTGAATGCAGCTGTTCTGCTCCCTCTGGTCACACTTGTCAAAAGGGCACTGAAGTCACACCTGTCCATCCCTGAGCAAAGCTGCAGTGAAGTCCTATCAGGGCACCCAACTTACTCATCAGAATCATAAAAGCACCTTTGACATATAAATCCTTCTATACCCCAGGGACCAAGCTTCCCACAAAGTAACTCACTCACTCTTCATGACAACTCTATAAGATAGGTATAGGCTATTACCCGCCCCACCCCCCCACATTTTACAGAAAAGAAAACTGATTTCACATCCCATGCTCCACACTCTCTTGGACTCTAAACATAGTTTCTGCCCCTGAGAATCTTCCAGGCTAACAGACTCTTAAAGCACAATGAGGAACGTGAAATGCCATGTCCTGGTGTGAGGTCATTAGATAAAAGGACCCTGAGTAAGGGGCAGCGCCCCTGGACTGCTAATGAGAAAGGCAAGTCATCACCCAGATGTCCTTGAGTTACCTGACACTGGGCTGGAAGAAGGAAGCTGGTGTGGGGAGAGGCAGGTGGTAGAGCAGCCTCAGGAAGGCAGCCCTAGGAACACATCCCTCCTCCTCCCTCTTGCCATGAGCAAACCATCCATTGGTGCTGGCTCGTTCAAGATGGGAGGATGTGGAATAAGGACCCACAGAAGACACACAGCTGAGTGAGACAAAGCGTGGATCTCAAGGAGCTCAGAATCTAGCTGAAGCAACCCACCTGCTACCCCACTCACGACTGCAGCTCGAGAAGCCAAAAGCAGAGTGATCGACGGAGCACAGACCATGGCAGGACAAGCACCAAGCTGTCCCTTGGCCTCCCCTTGCAGAAGGGCTCTCGGAAGTAGACGGCCTCCCTAGAAAGGTGTGAGTGTGGTACCTTGCAGAGGCAGCGAGGGGACAGGCCTGACTGAAGCAGGAGAAGGTGCTTGGAGGTCAAAGTGAGCTACCTTGTGAAGCCTTGCATGGCTCATGAAAAGTCTGGGCTGCATCCTGCAGTGTCCCAAGCAGTGAGGCCCATGATTAACTGGTGCCCTAGGAGGCTGGGCCTGGCACTGGCATCAGGATGGAGAAGAGGCAAGATGTGAGAAGGACAGTGGCTATGGCTGCCTCGACTCCTTAGGTTTGGGGTACAGAAGGGACAATCAGAAATGGTACTGTGAGACACCACCCCTCTGCCAGCTCCCAGTCCTTCTTAGCTTGCCACACCCAGGCGAGCTGACAGGTGCAGGCTGCCCCTTCAGGGGCTCTCTGATTATGTGAACAAGGCAGCCTGACTTCACTTTCCTTTTTTTTTTTTTTTAACAAGAAAAGTGAAGCAATTACAGCATTCTCAGAGGGGAAGAAGAAAAGTGAATACATGAAATCAACATGCCACATCTCTGCTAGCTGGCAACTGGGGAGATGTGAGCTTTGGAGTAAATGCCAAGCTCTCTCTGCCTCTCTGTGAATTCCTCAGGCTGGCAGCATGAGATGGGGCTTAGTCTTTGGTCTCTCCCTCACCCACACACAATCAGAGCCAATGGGCCAGTTCAGAGCCCCTTTCTGGCCCATGCTGAATATTCCCATATTTGACACAAGGTGCAGCTTATGAGGTACCCTGTGCCTTTAAGCCTCAAACAAGGCAGCATCCCACAAAGCCAGGGTTCAGGTTAGACACAAAGTGGCGCCTGCCACCCAAAAGAGCATATGTGACACAGGCCCCATTTTAGAAGGGACAGCTGCTCACCTCCCCCCAATTTTTAAACTCCAAATTTGGGATCTTCTTAGCTGTACAGAAAATGCTTTCGTTGCTGAGCAAACCATTTGGCAGCCGTGCCAAAAGATAACAATGGAGAGGTCCCTAGCAGAGGGCCTACATGATACCGGGGTGGGTGCAGGGACAGGGGGTCTCCTCTGCCATGGAAATTAAACAGCTAGGAGATCAGGTGTTAACGTACTTGGCCACGATCCAGGATGGATGGTAGCAATAATGATGAAAAAGGGTTGGGGTAGAAAAGAAGGAATGGTACTATTACTTGTTTTTAATCTTTTTTTTTTAAGTTTCTGAGACCAGTAAAGAAAAGAAAAGAAAGGCCAAGCATGGTTGCTCATACCTGTAATCCCAACACCTTGGGAGGCCAAGGCAGGTAAATCGCTTGATCCTAGGAGTTTGAGACAAACCTGGGCAATATAGTGAGACCCTACCTCTACAAAAAAATACAAACATTATCTGGGTGTGGTGGCATGCACCTGTAGCCCCAGCTACTCAGAAGGCTGAGGCAGGAGGATCACTTGAGCCCGGGAGGTTGAGGCTGCAGTGAGCCAAGATTGTGCCACCACACTTTGTTTGAGTGACAGAGCGAGACACTATCTCAAAAAAGAAAAGAAAAAAATCAAGCAGGGTTTGGCTTCAGTGGGAAAGTTCACAGACAGAGGGACACAAAGGGTTGCCAGGGTACCTCCCTCTCTGGAGAAAGGTCTGCTCCTTCCTCCTTCTCAGCCCTTTGTTCAGACTGCAACTACAGTTTGTCCACCTGCCTCTGCTGTGGTCACTGGGCTTCTAAACGAAAGCATAGGCTGTGTTTGGATCATTTCACACCATCCCCCAGTGCCTGTCAGTGACCAACCCACAGCAGGTACTTGGAAAGAGCTGGAGGACAGAGGGGAAAGGAAGACCAGCATCCCTAAGTCTTAAGCTCTCCTCAAGGACAGGCTGACAGCCCTGAGTTCATTAACCGAAGGATGGGACCCAAGCCAGAAATCTATGGAATT